GGCGGTGTTGGGCGGTGGGAAATTCTTAATAGCTTTTATTTTTGAATCTTGCGTTTCTATACCCTTTTGCGAAATTTTATAACCGAGATATTTAAGTTCTTTAGTTGCGAACTTGCATTTTGAGGCGTTAATTGTAAGACCGGCCTCTTTTAATAATTTAAAAACTTGTTCTAGATCATTAATGTGTTGTTCCAACGTACTACTCGTTATAATTATATCATCTAGATAAATTAAAGTTGATTTTCCTAGGACAGGCTTTAGAACAATGTCCATAGCTCTCTGGAATGTTGATGGGGCCCCACACAACCCAAAGGGCATGCGTAAAAATGCATAAGTGCCCGATTTTGTTTATAAACGCGGTTTTATGTATATCTTCGGGTCTCATAGCTATTTGATAGTAGCCAGACGTTAAGTCCAAAGTAGACATATATCTTGTCGATTTGATCTGTCTAATGATCTCGTCTATAACCGGCAAAGGGTAAACTGGAAATTTAGTAATACTATTTAGTTTTCTGTAATCGATAGCAAACCTCCAAGCCCTTTTATCCGAAGGAGGAAACTCGTTCTTTTTCCTACATAGTACGACTGGACTCGCGTACTCACTATTTATGGGCGTTATTATTTTATTCTTTAACATCTCCTGAATATGTTCTTCGATGATTACGTCTTTTTGTTTGTCATACCGATAAGGTTTAGTCCTACAAGGTTTTTCGGCATTTAATTGAATCTTGTGCGTCACTATTTGACAGTTTCCTGGTTTTTCTGAAAACAAATGAGAAAAATTACTCACCACTTGCTGTATTGCTTTACTTTCATGGTCATTCAGATGGCTAAGGTCCAACTTGCGGTGTCTCCACAGGTTCCACCACCCTCTGGTCCATCTCCAGCACCACGGAACTATCTTGAAAAATTAATTTGGCCCTCGCGGCCCTTAAAAACTCCATACCTAAAATAAGAGGATTTTGCAGATTTTCACCTACAAAAATTAATACTTTGAGGCTTTCCTCTTTTACCTGTAAGTTTAATGATAATTTCCCGATGCAGTGACATGTTTTTCCTTGCGCCGCTATAATTTCCGTATTTTTGGTTTTAAATAATCGTACCCTATAAAAATTCTTTTTGAAGAAAATTTTCACTCATAAAATTTCCTTCTGCTCCTGTATCGATGAGGGCTTCTACTGGTACATCGCCAACCAGGACTTGTATAATTGGTAGCTGTGAGTTTTTTACGATGTGATGTCTATTTGAGGGTTTTTTTAAAACTTCCGGGGTCTGGACCCTCCCTTTCACAGGCCCCTCTACTCGTTTAAAGCTTTCCTTTCAATCTGTGCCTTCTGGGTACGCGGATGTTTATTTTCAAATTTTCTTTTTGGGCCTTGACCTTCGAGTTTCGATGAGTTAGCTTGATAGTTCTTTCCCCCATAAGAGCGATTTCCATTTCTGGTTTCCTCATTTGAAGATTTCCTTCGGGTACTTTGAGAATACGTTTGCCCCTCTAGCTTTTTCCGCTATTCTGCGATTTTGAAACTTCACCGCCAATTCGAAGAGCTCCTGCAATGTGCTTGGGTTTCTAATTTCAAAGTAGTCTTGAACAGCGGGTAACAATCTTGGTAAGATTATTTCAATAATCTCCGCATCGGGTTTCTTCCCATACAGCATATCCGTTCAGCTTAATTTTTCGTAGAAATAAAGTCCGTCAATTCTTGCTATATCCCGTTGATAGAAACTATATAGTTCGGCTTCCAGCCTTGCGCGATCTTTCACTATGGGGAAGGCCTTTACTAACGATTTTTTGAAATTTTCAAATGTATATGTCTGGCTTCCAAATTCCCTAATAAAAATTTGCCTATATTTTCCACCATAGCGCGGCCTGTCCTCTTAGTGCTGATGTGGCGATGGCAACTTTTTGTCTTTCAGGCACAGGGTAGAGCTGAAAGTGATTTTCTAGACCTTCTAGAAATATCGCCACCGAATTTTTTCCGTCGAAATTGACGTTTGGCTTGATTGACGCTCTCAAAGTCTGGACCAGGTATCCAAATCCTTCCTAATTGGCTTGTCATTTCTTGGTGTTGTCCAGCGGCTTCCATCCAATTTTCGGCCATTTCAGTTTCGATAAGTGTTCGGGCGCCAATGTAAGCGTTGCGCGCCTCCAACTTGCACGCAACCAAGAGGTGACTGTTGAAAACTGGATAAAAGACAGAGTCTTGTTAAGGGTTTAAGTCCCTTTTTATTCAACGTAATAAATTACAAGTGCGTGCTCTTGACGCTCACAAACTACGCCAACTGGCGGTTAAAATAAAAATAATAACCTGAAAAGAAACTAAAGACAAGACTCTAACTACGAGGCTCTCTAAAAGTAACTAACCTCACCGCGTTTTACAATACCGCTGCTAATTCAGCAAACTTGAAGATCACGTTGAACGATTAACAATACTTCCAGGCAAGCACACAGGCCGAAACGCGGGGTTCTTCAATTTCTGGCTAACTACCTCCGCGCTCGTGAAGTAAGAACAGCACACCTCGAACTCGTTTCCTTTCTATTTAACTCAGAATACTTCCGCTGATAATTTGAATCCTTGCGCGTTCTACTAAAATTTACATACTCTGGCATTGGCAGTTCCAGGGGAAAGTAAGGCTTGACAGGAAAGATAGTTTAAACTTAAAATAAATGTTAGTTAAAATAAATATAAACCCTACAAACCTATGTACATAAAAAATTATTGTTACTGATTATGATCCAGAACTATATTGTCTATAATGAAATAATGCGATGTGTGTAAAAATAAATGTGATGAGTCCTCGAATTCAGTTCGGTCAGCGTCATCTTTATGTATCTGCACTCAGCCGTAACGACTGCCAGAAATTAAAAGTACTGGGTTTCTTCTACGCATTAAAATATCACATATTTATATTATATATCTTCTATTTACTGTAATAATTATTTCTGCAACTCAAAGTTTTCAAAATTTCAGTGAATGAAACATGAAAAAAAAGGCTGTAGAAAGACTATAATGTTAAAGGCTCTAGGTTTTTATATGAGGAAGGTTGTTATGTTGCTGTGACTTATGAAAAATCAGTAGAAGGAGAAAATTATGAATTTAGTGTAGGAGAAGGAAAAAGATGTAGTCTGAAAGCAAGATTAATAAACAACTTGTTAGATTGTATGGATCACTAAACTGGGTTCAACTTTAACAATATCATACTTTTGGGCAGTATTCCCTAATTTAATTGAAAAAATATCACGTTTGGTTACGGAGAAATGAAGGAACTATAGCATGTGTTGCTGGTAGAAAAAGGAAAATCTCCACTAGTTTTATTATTATTCTTAATTAAATTTATTTTAAAGACATGTATTTCATTTTCTTAAGAACTCTGAAGAATCTGTTTAATTTTTATGGTTTTTAAGGATATACAAGATCGCATGCACTTGCATTTTCCAATTATTCGTGCATTAAATATCTTGGGTAATTGGAAAGTCAGTGTAGTAAGTCTTTGGAGATTGCAGAGATATTACTTAACAGTCACAAGTTGAAGCAAGGCTGGCACCTGTACATTGCCGAAGGTACGTGAAGTATTGCCGCACCTTGCTAATTCTTAAACTCTGCTTCAATTTTGATGAAGACAACCTGAAGGGGGGAATACAGATGTCTCCCCTTCCAATCTTCTACTACTAACTACTTCATTTTCGGCTTGCCATGTATTTTGAGTGCCTATTAGTACCTTTAAAAGCATCCATGCATTCTCTGGGATTTGAACCCGGGTTTGTCGATATGGCAATCAGCATTACTAACCCTTATGTTTATTGGTTGGCAGTGCTAAGAGGTGTAGGTTGAAGCATAATTGCCTTGTGTGCATCCATGTAGGTATACGAGGTATTGCTGGCCTTGCTAACTGTTGAACTTCCATCCCAGATGGAAGTCCGATGATGAACACCCAGGGTCAACTCCAGTGTTTCCTGCCACCAACTGAATGATAAAGTTTTGGCTTGCAGTGTATTTTGAGTGCCCTCTTGCCACATAGACATCATATGCTTGCAAATATCTATGCCAGCTCCAGGATTCGAACCTGAACCATTTGATACTGCAGTCATCGTCACTACCCACTTTATTATCTGGGCAATGATATCACTTAACAACATTTTCTTATATGTCAGTTCCATGGTGTAAATATTTATCCTGAATTTTCAAAGGGTTCATAGGTTCATATACACTGGCTAAGCTAAACAGAGGATGATTTATTAAAATCACTGCAAAAGGAAATTTTTTTTTTTTTTTTTTTTTTTTTTTTTTTTTTTTTGGTGCATTAAAGAGGCTGTTAAGATATCCGATTTCAAATTTAAACTGTATCATACAAGAAAAAATTTCAGAAATAATACTAAATCTCATATGACTGCATTAAATAGACTGCTTGAATTAAAATTTTATTTCATTCTGTTATTGTATGTTGATTGAATGGTGAAAATGCCATTTGTTTATATTTTGTGAAACTAAAATTATAAATATTTTGACCTTTCTGATTATCTGCATCCCTGCCGAAAAGTCACAAAAAGGGATTCATAAGGTAAAAGCAATCATCAAATAATTATATGGCATCAAACAGTATCACCAAAAAGTATTTAGCAACCCAGGAATGCACAAAGCGCAGATCTGTTCAAAGTTGTACGGATGCCCCCCTTTTTTTAGAAAAATAGATTGTAGTGGTCATTGCAAGAGCACAAAAAAGAAAAATGACTCAAAAAAGGTGTTTTATTATTGATGTTCCTTGCTTTTTTAAAATTTTATTTATTGGTTGCTTTTGTTTGGAATTCTTAGTATACCACCATTTTAAAATTGGCTGTTGACTCCCATGCATTAGCTTGGTGAAAACTTAGTCTCCAGTGAGTGAATGCTCTCTAAAGTTGTTATCAAGTCCATGGCTTTTTATTGGGGGGAACAGATAATCAGAAAGTACAATTATTTTTTATGATTTTAGTCAAATCTTGATTAATTTATCTTTTGCAGGAAATATTTGCAATCAGGACAAAGATATGTATATAAAACTTTTCATGTTGCTTGTATGAATGTGAATATCCCGTCCAATGAAGGAGGACTATTTTATGTCATAGCTTCACCCTGTAAATTTCCAACATAGTGGGCATATTGTCCCTACTCAGCTATTTTCTCAAGTTCTGTACAGATAGTAAGATGTGTATTTATTCATTGTAAATTCTTAATTTAGCTCAACTAATATTTATTTTGCTCTTAATCATGTGATTCTAGAGCTTTAATTTGAAACTTTTTCCCCATTGTATATACTTATGACATCGTACATTTGTGCTGTAGATTGTAATTAAGATGATATGCAAGCGTTTTCTTATTTTTATTTTATGATTGTTGATTTGTTTTAAGAGGAATCTACTTTTGTGAATCTTTCCAAAATTAGCATACAAATGTAAGTGTGATAGCCACGATTGTTTTCATTAAAAATATTGACAAGGTCGTTGATTTCTTTTTTCCCCCTTTTTACATAATACTAGGTATTCTTTGTATCTGTGATTAAAAATTTCTATAGATATTAAATGGAATTATGAAATTAAATTTGTACTTCAGCAATAGTGTTAAGTACCTTTACCCCATGATTATATGCATTTCTTGTAAAATTTGATTTCTTTTTAAGTATAAAAATAGGAAACTACATTTAAGTTACTTTTACTGCATCTTAAGTTAAAACTTCATTTCTCTTTCAAATAGGTTATGGTTGAGTGGAATAAGTTGCTGTCATTTTGTAATTAAATCTCATTGTTGCAAATTTTATCCATGATTTTTTACAATTTTGTATAATTCTCCAGATTTAAAATATAAATTATGTTAAATATTTGTTAATTAAAAAAAGTTTTATCAGAAAAATTTAAGTTACAAATTATAAAATTAGTGATGAATTATCAAATAGCTTGTCTTCAGCTTGTACTGAAAGGGCTTTATCAGTTTTTAGTGTCTATCAAACTTATTGGTGGGAGAAAACATTTATAAAAGTTAATGCCTTTAGTATTTGTCTAATTTTTTATGTCTGAATGTATCACTTGATGGAAACAGAAATAAAGGATAATGATTATAATTTCTCACATTTTGTGTTGTAATGAGAACATCAGTATTTATCAACAATTGCAAAGCATACCAGCTTTCCCCTTTTAGTTATGAAATCAGTAGAATTATCATGTTGCAGTAACTTCATTTTCATACTAAATGAAATAGACGACCAATTACAGTATTAATTTTTCCAAGATGATATATGATATTATTTATTTTCAAAAAGCTTTGCATAGATTGATAAAAGTGTGGTGAAAATTAAAGATATTATTGTAAATCTTCATCTAAATTAATTATCTAAATGTTATAATGCTATTTAAATATGATTTTATAGTTTGTACAAATTCCTCAGTAGTTATATCAGGGTTGCCACGCTACCTGGAAAACCGGAAAAGTCAGGAAATTCGAAAAATAAAACGAGTCGGGGAATTTCATGCGGCGATCCCCCCCCCCCAAAAAAGAGTTTTGCTCCAACGTTGGAAGCGATCACTTTCTTAGCGAATTGTGTATTGCGTGAGCGTCATTCAGGCATCTGGCATAAAGCAAGTTTTTGCAGCTCCAGTTAGTTCGTTTTTTAGAAAGGCAAAGCAAGTTTCCAGTTACTTCGAGAATCGCATGCACATGTGCAGTGCATGTTGAACTAAACAAAATACTTATTCATGTATAAAACAAAATCGGTTTAATCCTAGTATCTGGTACCTTGGAGGTTAGAATCAAAGAATATGTATTTTTAGAAGAAAAACTTCTCTGCAATAGGAGGGACTCCATTCCAACATAGAAGGAAACAACTGTCGCCAAAGCTCTAAGCTCGTGTCGAAGTTCGAAGATCACGCTATAAAGAGTTCATAAAATGAATATCGTTTAAAATTTCTTTAAACTTTAAAGAAAAAGAAAATATTTTTTGGTGCAAGTAAATTAATTAATGGATTAGTTATTTTGAGGGGAAAAAACTACGAAAATCCGTGTTTAAATTATTGCAAAAAATCAAAGAAGAAACGTTCCACGAATTCCTCAATTTCCTGTACACATCGGGGAGAGTGAAATTCTAGCCGCCAGGTTCCATTGCCGAATCGCTTGGCGAATTTTCCCTCCTCTTTCTAGCGGTGTAATAGCATGTCTATGGAACCTTTCCTTCTTTACATTAACATTCTTCGGTTAGAATGTATTCTAACCTCCATGTAGGAACACATGGGATTTGGTGACATTATGATGAGTAGTAAACAGGTCATTTTGGTGTTGGCAACAACTTTCAAAATTGTGTCATGGCCTTAGCGTATAGTAGGATTTTACCGCAAAATCTTTTTAAAACCTTTTCTTTTTAATAAATGCCTTATTTGTCATTTTGAAGTAAAATAAAAAAATAGTAATCAGTCATCTAGGCTAACCATTTAATATAATTGTATTGGCTAAAATATTGTTGATTATTCTAATTCAATTTTTAAGTAATTATCTTTATTTTTATACTATTCGTATCATTTAATGTTGCTTCTTCCCTCTGAATTTATTTATTATTAGTAAATAATATTTTCCAATTTCAGGAAATTTTTTCTCTGACATAATCCTGAAATTAATTCTAGCAGTATGATGACATATCATCACGAAATTTAATGCACATATTTTTTGCTTATGTATGCTGCTAAATAAATAAAAAATACACGAATTTATTTTAAAATGTCATTCAATAGATTTCTTTCTTTCATTTCGCTGCAAAATATCTGCAAAAAAAGACATTTTTTAATCCGGATCAGGCAGATTCTAATTTCAATCTTCATTGAAGAAAACAACTCCTATTATTGTTATAATGCTTTGAGAATTTTATATATATATATATAAGTCATATATAATTGGCCAATTTTTGTGCTTTTGAGTAATACCATAATTAATTTACCTCTTAGCACAGCCAATGTGCATTATGCGGATAGACTGGAATTTTCTTAAAGCCATCTGGAAAAGTCAGGGAATTTCATTATCCTGTTTCAGTGGCAGCCCTGCTATATCTACATGTATTTTTTCTGTTTATGGCATAGGTGTAAAATTTAACATAAAATGAAATTGGCAGTCATATTAAATGTACTAAAGAATCATGGAGAGAAGTTAATTAACATGTAAAATAGAGGGATGTGTATCTTGAAAAATCGCTGATATTAGATAAAATTTAAAAACAGGTTTCCTAACTTTAAATTCTTATAATTTTTGCATGTTTCATATGTTGTATAATCTTTTTTTAGTGTTATTCTACACCGATTTTCTTTAACCCTCTGATCAGCACAGGATTTTTAAGAAAGCCCATATTTTCCAAAAGTGCCATGAGAAACAGGTATTTTCTTGATTTTAAAGCCAAAATGCTCCTGCTACTTTTTACCTGGATTTATATACTTTTAATATATTGCCTTAATTTCAAGATACACATACTTTCATAAAGATGTCACAAAAATATTATATGCATATGGTCTTGGTGGTCAAAGGGTTAAAATTCATGTGTGTTCATTCTGATCCAAATGAAGGTCCAACTGAAACCTATCAAAATTGATTTTCTTAAGCCTAAGTTTTTTGATATGCAATTATATCAACTACTATCCGTTTGACATGCACGGTCAAAAATAATCCAACCCTCTGATTGATACAAATTACATGTAGTGCTTAGGAAAACAATGCATATATCAGTCAACAGAACTTACTTGCATACCTATACAATACACAATATTCATTGTGTAGCACTTTGCTGATGTTAATATCCTGTGTAGCCACACACCATTTTACAACAGCTGATCATCAATGTGGTTTACTATCATGCAGTGTGCAGATGAATTCCTGTGGGTTATCCATGTTTCTTCAGCTCATTGGCATAGGATGGCAACATCTGTTAGTGGATATGAAATGCAACAGATCTGTCTTTTCAATATTGTTCAATGAATGCAATATTATGCTGGAGATAGATTATCCATATACATAAGGGGGTGTGTACTCATGCATTCTTCTGGTGAAACACACTGCCTTGAATAATAACCATAAAGAAACTTTTGATAGCTTTAACTATCTAATCTGCATATTATTAACAGTTACTTAGATTACCCATTATAAGACCAGAGGAGACAGTCATAAGGTATAGCTTCCCCCATTATAGGATCATGAAAGCCCTGTGTTACATTGAGCCAGACTTATTCCACAAATCTCCTCACTGAAGACATCTTTATTTCATTTTCCAATTTGATTCTGCCTTGGCACCATTGGACCCTGTTCAGACATGCTTATAGAGTGAGTGATACACCACATCTTGGATACTTAGTGCAAAGATCAATTGAGTTGATGCAATTGATAATAGAGCTGTTAAACATGAATCCGTGTAAGTAATCATGCATATCCCTCAGGATGTCTGAAAAAGGTGGCAGGATGGCAGGCAGTTATTTCGCATGCAGTGTGATAGTTTATAAGAGTCAGCCATTTATCTAATCCAGCTATTCATCCACCACTAAACTTTGGTAGCATATATGGATGGAAATCAGGTAGCTTGTGTTGGATTGATTTAGCATTTAAGTTACTTGTCAATGTAATACATATATAAGTATTTGCATTTCTAAAAACCTACAATTAGTGGTGAATAAGTTTTGTTAAATTTTAGTGGTACACACAAGACGTAGTTTTAATTAAATCTTCATTTTTAGGCCTTATTTATGTTTTTGGAATCTTAGACTTCTAGTGAAGTGTAGAGATGATAAAGAAAGAGAAAGGTTAAATGGGTGTAGCTGAAGCGTTAATGTAGGTGTAATTTTACAAGGATACGGAAATTTATAACAAGTATCTATAAAAACTTTTGATTTACTTTTGATTGACCCAAATACTAGGTTGATTATTTTGAATATGACAGAGCCCATGAGGGCTTTCTGCTAGGGAGAGGAATGTCTTCATGGACAACATTTTAAAAGAAACTGACTAATATTCATCTTACACATAGGGAATATCATGAAAACCAACCATGCAGCCCACTGAGGATGAACTCCAAATAATCCAGCAGTCTTTAGTCTCTTGCCCACTGATAGCATCCCAGTTTTGACAACACTGGACTTTCCCATAATGCATTTGAAACCTTTCCATTTTTATTGTTTGTATATTGCGATTTAAATTTTTTATGCGAATGGTTTGGCACAGCTCACTTTCATTTGAGGGAGGTTGCATTACTTTTGACAGTGTGTATTGTATCATGTATGTAATTGTTTACGTCATTAAGAAATGTAAGATGTCATAAAATCTACTTACAATAGATAGATTTGTTACCAGGAAACAATAGGACATTTGAATTATTTCTCACAACTATTTGTTATGCATGAAATATAAGTAACTGTTATCTGCTTATAAATATTATAAAAAAGAAATAAACCTTTTTTTAAAAAAAATTGTGGCTTTGCTAGACCCTTG